CCCCAAAACCCCAAAACCCCAAAACCCCATAATGCTCGTAAACTAATAATCAAGTAATAATCAAGAGAAAAGATTTTATTTATGTTTTATAGAAACTTAAAATAGATTTCAATTTAGTTAAAATAGTGAAGGTATATATTTAGGGTATGAATGACAGAGAGTTTTTTGACGAACTCCCAAGTGTGTTTGCTCATTCTGGTGATTGGAGTAGAGCGACTCCAGCAAGAATCCACTTGTTAGCATCAGATTCCTCGCTTTCCATCTTGAGGTTGGCAGTGAAAATGTAGGTTGGACCTCTCATGCTGGTCACGTAGACTGGGCATTCGTAGTATCCAGCCTCTACTCTTTCTCTGAGTCTAACGGCTGTGACGTGCATGATGGGCACTTCTGGATGCAACTCCTTCAAGACCATATCGGTAAGGTAACCTTGCTCGCCACCTCTACCATATTCCCAACCGGCTCCTTCTAAGAAGAATCCATGGACGTAGGCTCCTGTTTCAGCATTACCTTGCAAATCGTCAGCGTCCTTGGTGTTAAGAACATCAGTCTTGAGACACATATCATCTAGAGGAAGCATCTTCTCTCTAGCAGTAACCTGCATAATGGCAGTCAAGAATGACATAGGGTTGAAGAGACCAGAGATCCAAAGAGATTTGGGTGTTGTCATTTCAGTTGACCAGGTTAATAGTTAGTTAACTCTTTGTAAGAGATCGAAATACCATTCAGTTAAGGACTTCTTTGAGAAGTAAGCGTATTTCTCCCAAGAGTCGTGGACTCTGTTGAAGGCAAGAGCGTTAGCTAGACCTTCCATTGCATCAGTGATGTTAAGTTGACCCTTAAGACCAGCGTCTAGCTCGTAAAGTGAGAATCTGATTGTACCAAGAAGGGTATTCATTCTCTCGCATTCCTGAATACATACGACTATGTATGGAGACTTGTCTTTGACTCTACCAATGATATCAAGCATGGAGAAATTGGGTGGTAAGGTTTCTAGGAACTTTCTAATGAACTCCTTAACAGTTTCTTCCTTCTTCTTTCCACCACCGCCTGCGGAGCCTCCTCCTTAAACAGTTAAGATAAGGGAGAAGAGTTGTTCTCCTTGAGTAGTCAAGTATCCGATTTCAGCATTTGGATGAAGACCAAACATGTTAGGTGACTCTATTGGGAGTTTCTCTTCAATATACTTTCTGTAGGCTTCTCTATCGAACTTGAGTGGGTCTGGTGACTTGAAACCTGGAGCGCAAGTAAGTTGCATACCATTCAAGATTTCAGGTCTTACTAGAACCTTAAGATAGGTGTTGTTTGTTCTTCTATCCCAACCATCAGTAATGTGACCACCATACATGATCTCACCATAGATGTATCTGAGATCATCGTAGGGTACCTTCTCGTACTTAGTCAAGTAGTTGTGGAGCACATCACCACAAATTTGTAGATCACCATCATTGAAGTTGTAGTTTCTAGACCAACCTTGAGATCCGAACTTCTTTCTTCCGAGGATAAGTGAGTGGAACATACAGAGACCGAATAAGAGGGCCTTGAATTCTGATAGCTTGTGACCTGCAGCTTTTTCGAAGTGAGCTTCATCGAATTGAGCGAAAGCTCTTCTGATGTTGGCCTTAAGATCCTGAGGTGATTCATTAGCGACCTTGATAGCGTTCTGCAAGATAGACTCAGGAATGGTTTCATATTCTGGAAGAGGGGGTGGCTCTGATGATACGAAACATCTGAAGTTAGGATGGACGTCTTCACAGACTATTTCAAGATTTCTCTCGAAAATCTTCAACCAACTCTACATGAGATGCACGTTTTGGAGCATAATCCAGTGACCTTGCTTTCCAGCATTATGAAGTGCCTTGATGGCAATATCTTCTTGACCTTGTCCCATGGAAATATTGATGAAAGTTCCTTGTTGAATTGAGACTCCGTTCTTTCTACCGACTCTTTCTACCTCTGGAGTTGGATCTACTCCTGGGAAGAGCACGAAGAAGACTGGTGTTTGTGGGTTCATTTCAGCATAAGTAGTGAAGATATCGAATGGAACCTGTTCAATGAATTGCTCTCCGAGGTTCTCGAACACGAATTGTGATAGAGCGCCAGACAATCTATCTGGTCTCAGTGCTCTCAGGAGAAGCAGTCTGTGGAACAAGGAAACATCCTTGAATGCTCTTGGCAACTCAGCAGCTTCAGCTTTCTCTTCAGCGTACCATTTTCTCCATTGAAGTGCCTCACTTTCCATTTGTGAGATGAGGTTAGCGAAAAGCTTAACATTTTCAAGACCCTTGACAGCAGCCCAGGCAGACTCAGGAATGAACTTGAGTGACTCAGCTTGGTTGGGGACATCAAGTGCGACTTCTTTCTTGATGAGGGCCATGACTTCGTTTTCGTCGATCTTCTTCTTTCTGACAAGAATTCTGAGGCAAAGCATTGTGGCTACCAATAGTTTGTGCTTTTCGAAGAGTCCTCTTCTAGTGTAGTTGAATCCTTCATAGGTGATGCTTTCAGTCAAAGCATCGACTCTCTTGTTAAGAGTTCTTGGAGTCATTGGCTCGTCTTCGGCTCTATCCTCTTCAGTTGGTTTGTTTTCTCCTTCTTCTTCACCTTCACCTTCAGCAGGCACTTCCTTCTTTGGATTCATTCTCTCAGCAACAATATCTATAGCTCTGTTGACGACAATAACGAATGAGTCTAGTGAGAACTTGTAGAAGGAGTGAATCTTATAGAGTTCGTTAAGCATGAAGAACACCAAGGCTCCTCTGCTGGCAGCTGGTCTGTAAGCTTCCGAGGCATCATTAATCATAACCTCTGTTACCTTAGCAATTTCTACCTTCTCTTTGATTTCCATTGAGATCTTCTTGGAGTACTCAAGATTTTCAATAAGTTCAATGTTCTCTAGAATATCACCTTCTGATGTGGCTAGTCTGAAAAGCAAATCGTTTTCAAGTTATTTCAACTTGATCAAGAACTCGTTTTGTTGTTGGATAAGTTCTTCCTTTTGAGTGGCGAGATCTGGTCTTTCTTTCTTAACGACCAAGGCTAGAAGTTGATCTTCAAGACCAGCCTCTGTGACAGTGAAGTTAATCAGAGCGCACTCAGCTTAGATTTCAGGAGGATAATGAGGATTTGATAGCTTAGTGTGCATGAATAGCTTGAAGTTGTTATGGAGAGTAAGCTCCTTATCTCCCATTCTGATGTATCTACTCTTACCCTTCTTAATGATGGCTCTGCTGTAGACTGGTTGGATGACAGCATCGATGTTGTTTTCCATATTTTCAATGAGAACAGACTGACCAGCTTCGATGGCGAACTCGAGGGTCTTGATCATTCTGTTGTTGTTAAGTCTGGTGACTTGCAAATCGTTGTTCTTTTCCTTTTCTTTCAACCAGGTGATACCTTGCAACTGTGGATCGATGATGAGGGAATATCTCTCTGAGTTGGTAAGGATAGCACCATTCTCTGTTGAGACTCTATCAGCTGGAAGTTTCTGGTTGTTCCACTCGGCAATGGTAGCCTCATCGGTAAGGATGATGAGTGGGTTTGGATCTGGGGACATTGGGATCTTGTTCTTCTTGAAGAAATCAATGAATCTGTTGTTGGTAATCATGTCTCTGAATTTCTTGTTGAATGGACCTACATAAGATACGAAAGCACTAGCAAGTAAGACATCACCAGTGATAACGATAATCTTCTCTCCAAGGTCAATAATGGCTTGATTCCATCTTTCGCTCTCACTTCCGAGGGCGTTAACCAATCTCTGAGCAGAGTCAAGTCTTCTAGCGCACTTCATGGCTTCAGCTTCTGCAGCGTTCTTCTCGTCCATAGCCTTTTGGAAATCAGCTTGCAAGATAGCTAACTCGGACATAAGCTTAGCGACTAAGGTATCCATCTCCTCTTTCTTGGCATTAGCTTCAGCTAGTTTTTGTTGGGCAGCTCTCACGGCAGCCTTCTTGGGCTCGACTGATACGAACACATCGTAGTACATAGTAATGTTGAGAATCCAATCGCAAAGACCTCCAGCGCATGATGACTTATTCTTAATAATTGCTGGGGTGAAGTTTGGATCACTGATGGTACCTCTGATGGCTTTGAAGTTGTTGCCTGGTACTAAATCCTAATCGATCTTCTCCTTGAAACCTTCAAGAGTGGTCAAAAGTTGGGCTGGGTTGGCCATGACACTGAGTGAAGTTTTCCAGGTGTTTTCAGTCTTCAGTTTACCGTTCTTATCTACTGGCACGTTTGAATCTACTGTACATAGCAAGTTGAGCACACAACCGAACACATTTTCAATATCCTTAGGGGGTGACTTGAGGGCTTTCAAGTTTTGGAAATCTTTCAAACTGAGACCTCTGAGGGCTTCTTTAGCCTTTTCGACCAATGGGAGGGCTTCATCAAGATCCTTCTGCACCTTTGAAGACTCTTCTTCGACTTCAACCTTGATCTTAGAGCACTTTTCGGCTTCAGTGTTGGCAATATCACTTTGAGCTTCGACCTTAGTCTTTTCCTTTCCGACGACTTCGGCTTAGGCATCAGCCAGTTTCTTCTTTTCTTCTACCTCGACTGAGAAGACCTTCAATTCTTCCTCTAACTTAGACACAATTTCTCCAGTTTCTTGAAGCTTAACGACTCCAGCTTCGTATTTAGACTTGTTTTGCTCTAATTCATCCTTCTTCTTTCCAAGCATGACCTTGAACAGTTTGATGAGTTCGAGGAAAGACTTGGGTGTGGTGTAGACATATCTTCTTTCTTGTTCGAAGATCATGGCAGAGAACTCATTCACAGTTCTGAATGAGTAGGGCATGAACCTGGTGATTGAATCTCTTACTTCATCACTTTGCATTTCGACGTCTCCCAAGAATTTTGAGGCGACACTGAGAAGGGCATCCTCAGGCCAGGGGTGGAACCAATCGATCACAGTGCAGTTGACCAGGGCGGGGAACTTTCTGGATCTGCTTCTGAATGACTCTCCGACTGGGGAGAAGCAGAGGCACATGTGGAGGTTCTTCTTGACTCTCTGGATGTAGTAGTTCCAGCAGTTGTCTTTGTTATCAATGATACCAGCACCTTTCACAGCTGGTCTGATGTTGTTGACAATGGTGTCCTTGTCTTCAGTGGCGAAGAGATCAGCAATCTCTCCAGATGAAAGCAAATCGTTGATGAACACAAGGAATCTCTCGTTGGTGATTTGACCTTCAGTCAGCAAGAACATAATACCTTCGTCCTTGAGACCGGCTTTGTTGTACATTACTTGCAAGTCAGTCTTTAGATCATTCAAACCATAGGTTGATGAGATCATAATAGTTGTTGTCAGATACATACAGATGAATGATGAGAGCTTGGACAGTGATTATTTACCTGAACCACCGACTCCGACAAGTAAAGCGTGACCACCATCAGCAGCAATAATTCTGGTGATTCTACAGACGTGCTTCATGGCGTCTTCGAAGAGCACGAGGTCCATCACTGGGTTAGTATCGTTGTACTCTCTAAGTGCTTCTTGAAGTCTCTCACTGAGTGCATCGATAGATGAGAATTGATCGTAGAGTTTCTCTTCAAGACCAGAGACGAATTGGGCGAACACAAGGGCATCAGGGTTGGCTCCTTGGAAGTACTTGGTCAAGTTGTACTTTGCGAATGATTTCTTAACGAGATCAGCAACAATGAACTTGTAGGTGGAGATGTTCTCTTGACTGGACAGTCTGTCTCCATAGATTCTTTCAGACTCGTGGATCCAAAGCTTGATGAGGTTATCTGGTTCCTTAATGGCTTCTGGCTTGGCAACCAAGAGACCTTAGAAAATGTTGGTCAAATGTCTAACGTTGAACTCATAATGGAAATTGACGGCAGTCTTTCTGAAGTTTCTCTCGACTTCTGCGTGCAAGTTCAGAGCAGTCTTAATAATTGGCACGACTTGCTCTTGAATAGTTCCCTTGAACTTGGCGAAATGCTTAGACAAGAAAGTATTATAGATGGTGAAGAGAGAGGTTTGCTCTGGGAATGGAATAGCTAAAGTCCAGAAATGTCTTTGAAGTCTTGGGTTGATTTGGAAAGAACCAGCAGTGGGGTTCATGCAAGCAGTGTACTGAGTGTTCTTAATGTCCTTAAGGGAGAGTTTGGCTCTATCGTACCAATGCTCGTAGTCCTTGTGCTGTCTCACAAGTGAGATGGCAGTCTGAGTGTTGTAGGGATCGAGTTCTGGCATGTTGAGATCATCAATGAAGTAGATCAACTTGAATTTACCTACTGGGGCATAAGTTCTACCTGCCTTCTTTTCAAGTTGTTGCTCGAGAATGGTTTGGAGGAGCATGGAGTCAGTGTAATAGTTGAAGTTGACTATTTGCTGGATGTATTGATCAGTAGTGGTGGTCAAGTCGTTCAAGAGACCTTTAGAGATCTGAGTCTTACCGCAACCAGCGTTACCGACAAGCATAGGTGAGTGATCTACACCAATGAACTGCTTCATCAAGAATTAGGCTGAAATAGTGTCGACTGTTGGAACAGTGTAGTTTGAGATACTCTTGCTGGTATCAATGTCCTTTTCAATATCCTTGGTTTGCATCTTGCTCCAATCTTCGAGTTTGGTGTTCTCGATATCCACGAAGTAGTCGAAAACTGTACCTTTGTTGGGGAACTTGATGGTCTTCCACTTGTCCTTCCACCAGTTACTGAATTCCTTTCTGTAGTCGTGGCCGTCTTTCTCTGAGAATCCACCTCCAATACACCAAACGCAAGCGAATACGAATACGTACTCAATACCCTTGACTTCTTGTTTGTCCATGATGCTCTCAAGGAGTTTACAGATAGAAACAACAATTGAGATTTCCATAGCTGGGACGAGGTACTTGAATGACTTCTTGACGTGAGTGAATGTCTCTGGGATATACTTCTCGAAAAGCTATTGAAGCATCAACTTAGTCTCGTCATTATACTTCTTTTGAGTGATCCAAGATCTTTGGAAGGATCTCCATTGATAACCGAAAGAATCTGAGATGAAAAGGATACCAGCTCTTGATACAGTAGCAGGGGTTGCGAATCTCAAATCTCTGATTTCGAAGATCATTCTCATGTGTGGCTTAAGCACAATACGTTCGTTTGAGGCGAGGGTCAGAATTTTGTTATCGTCCATGACAGAGTTCATAGACTCAATCCAGTTAGCGTCCAAATCTCCATCAAGAATAATCCACTTGGGGTTGTTATCTGCCAACTAACTCAAACTTCTCATAGTCTTAGACAATAGACCATCTTTCCACTCTCTTGTTGCTAAAAGCACGACTCCATAAAGCTCATTGGTTGAGACGACCTTTGGATCTAGATCTACATAGGTAGTCTTTTTGTTGTCCTTATCTTGAGCCTTTGCAAGAGTCTTCCAGGTGCCTGATTTACCAGATCCTGGATTTCCCATAACGAAGACACAATGTCTAATTTCAAGGAGCTCTCCAAGTTAGACGATTTTAAGGATGAACTCTGGTTCATCATGGTATCCGAGCTCGCTTGCAGATTGTCTAATAAGGGCTTCGAATCTCTCATCTCTCTTTCTTGGGACATTAATGCCTGGGAAAAGATCTCCGAGTAGACCGAAGAAGATGTCAAGATCATCGGCAACAATCTTTGGAATATTGAAATCTCTCAAGGCTCTCATGAGAAGAGCTTATTCTTGAAGATGTGGTTCAGCTCTTTTGAAGGCACCAGCCACGACCAGTACAGACTTAATGGCTCTAAGACCCCAATCATAATGACTTTGTTTGGATAAGAGATCTCTACAGAGAGAATAGAGGGTAGTGAACTTCTTAGCGAGAAGCTTGGCATCGACGAAACCTTCAGCCATGAGCATGTTTTCGCAAATAAGTTCGAGATCTGGTACGACGACAGTAATGGGTCTGAAAAGGGCTTTTAGACCTTCGGGCAATTCAGATCTACCAAGATAACCTGGATTCATAGTAATGAACACACCACAAGTAGGGTCGAGCATGATTTCGTCTTCTTGAAGTAAGAATCTATCTTTCTTTTGCTTGATGGCATCAGTAACTGACTTGAATTGGACTGAACACACAGAGAGCACTTCAGGCACGAGTCTGTTGAACTCATCGAAACATCCCCAAGATCCTGAGGCTGCAAGTCCTTTGAAGATACCTCCCATGCCTTTGTAATCCATTTGATCTGAGCAGTTGAACACATACACAGCTTTACCCATTGCAGAGGCGAGATCCTTAGTTGTTTCAGTTTTACCAGTTCCGGCGGGACCAGCTGGGGCACAACCCATTTTCAAGTGAAGGGCTTGAGTGGCTGTCACATAAATTCTATCAGTAAGTGGGGTGACGACAAGTCTTGGACCGTTACCGAGATACTCATAACCATACCAGAATTCGGCATCAGCAATCTTGAGTCTGAAATCAGCAGCAGCGGGATCGTAGTAGGATTTCAATTGTGATTGCCATTGGAACTCGTCAGATTGGTGGACCTTTTCGACGACTAGTTTATCAATAATATCTCTTGAGTGAGCATCCATAGTAATCATACACATGATCTTTTGTCTGACTGCTTTGTCTAGATCACCTTGCACCATCTTAATCAAATCAGTAAGAGATTGAACTTGGTCTACAAAGGCTTTCTCCATTGATTTAGGGCTGCTCTTGAGTTCAAGGAAACTAGTTTCTACGTTTCTAACCCAAACGCATAAGTTAATGAGAAGGGTGATTTGAGAGGGATCAATCTTGATCCAGTCAGCTTTAGGAGTAACTTGCTGGGTGGAGATACTCTTTCCTCCAATGTGCTTGAGTGAGTTTCTCATGGTGTCAATGACATCTCCGAGATAGTTCTCGACCTTGCCTACTAGCTTGAGTGGCTTGGAGAAATCGACGTACTCCTTACCAACACAGGTCTCCATACCAATGGCTTGTGGTCTGTCTCCATCGTCCTTCAAGTGAAGGGTTTCGATAGCCTGGAAAATCTTAGGCATGTGGACCATGATCTTCTTGGGGTTGTTACCGTTTGAAAGGATATCGAGTAGATCAGCTGGGGAGACGAAATAGAATCTGGGGAAGGCTCTTCTCTTTGAGTCCATGAAATCATTAAGAGCTTTCTCGCAGAGAGTAAGTTGCTTTTGCACTTCTTCTAGTCTTGCCATAACATTATCTTGAGTTGAAAAGATAAGAGCTTTTTGTTTTTGCTCACCATCCTTAAGAATAGCCTTGACTTCTTTGTCGATTCCAACGAATTTCTCACTTTCCTTGGGGAGTTCCTTCTTGACCTCCTCTGAGTGGATGAAGAGGTTTTCCAAGAAAGACCAGGATCTTTGTACTTCAGCAAGCAACTGAACGATTTCAGAAATAGCTGCTAGTGACTTCTGCCAGTAAACGCACTTGTCTTCGAAGGTTGAGAGATATCTGGATGAGAACATGGCAGTAACAGCAACCTAGTTCTCTTCTAGCATTTCGAAGTTTTCTTCTGAGAGCTTGATAAGCATGACATCAGTGTCCTTGTGTCTGTTGAACTCAAATACGATATCCTTCCAGGTCTCCTCTAGTTTAACTAGGGTCTTCTCCATCTTGGATTCTTGTCTGGCTTGATCTGTGATTTCTTCAACGTCTTCTTGATACTTGTTCAAGTTGAGGTTGTAAACGTCTCTAAGAAGGAGTTTGTCATCAACGTTGAAGTCCTTTTGGACCTTGTCCTTTATTGCTTTCCAGTGGCGGGGTCTCATAGCTTCATCTCTAAGTTCAGCAATAAGGGGTAGGAAAACGAGCCATCTCTTGATGTCTTCTTGAATACCGAGGTAAGCGTTACATCTCTTGTCGACCTTCATTTCTTTAAGGAACTTGAAAACGGTCTTCACTTCTTCTTCCATGTCAAATGGGTTGGTGTCGATCCACTTAGCTTCCATATATCCTGAGAATGAGTTTTGGCAGACGTCGATGTGGTCCCAAAGAGTTACCATGCTTTGGATTTCAGCCTTAATAGCATCAACTTGCTTGATTGAATTGGTAATGAGATCTGGGTTACCGAACTTTTGGGCGTTGTATCCGTAGTCAATGAGTTTCTAGTCGAATTCAGCAATTTCCTCTCCGACTGAGCCTAGCTTTTTCTTGGCTTCAGTAACTCCAGTTTTGTAGTAGTAGAAGTCTCTCTTCTTGAGTTCGTTGGTGTATACTCTGAGATCCTCCTCGAATTTCTTGATCATAGTTGTGGTCTTTTCGTTCTCGTTGCTAATGAGTGGTGAGATTTCCTTTCTGATGTCCTTAGCGAGCTTCTTGAGTCCTGCCCACTCATCAAAGAGTCTCTTGATTTGCTTGAGTTGGGAGTCCTTGGCAATTTGGTGTTCGTGGAACATTCTGAGGGACTCATCAAGGCAGTCAAGTCTGAGTACGATTTCATCATTGAGGGTGAATACGCAGTCAACGCTGTCTTTAACTGAGATAAGTGTTTTTACATCTTAGATATTCTTGTCCTTTGTGGAGGCTCCCTTTGAAGTCTCACTAATAAAGCCGTGAATTTGCTCCAATTCAGTGGCAATGTACTTGCCCATTGCTGGACCTGTGAGGTTGTTGACATTGGCAGCTGACTTTCCACTGAAGCTTGACTTGTATGGAGATCCTCTTAAAGCGACCATTTTACCCTTGTCATCCTCAAATAAGATTTCAATTTTGCATTCAGCTTCTTCTTCAATCATATACTTGACGACGTATTAACCATCATCTTTATCGACTACTTGGCATGGAATTTCCTTAACCTCTCCATTGTTAGTTGCCATAATTTTGACTTAGAAGTTATCTCTTCCTGATCTTCTGTTCTCTCCTGAGTCATTTCTAGCTTGAATGACAAACTCTGTTTCATGACCAACGGCTCCCTCTGGTAGGAGACCTGGACCATAGGCTAGTGATTTGTAGGCTCTAGTGTTCATGAAATAAGAGAAGGTAGACCATGTGGTGGTTAAATCTCCACCTTGGATTGAGAGTTGAACTATTGCTTCTTTTGGTCCAAACTATTCGTAGCTTGGAGTGACACAAGTAAGCTCAGTTTCTGAGACATAGACTCCAGTTACTTCGACTGATTGCTTAGATGGAACATCGACAGGGTTCTTTCCGCAGGTGAAGTAGACTTTGATGTTGGCATCCTTGAAGCCAACTCCCTTAATGACAACTGGGACATTACCTGAGAGCTGACCAAGAGCTGGAACACATTCAGTGATGGCATATGAGGGACCAACAATCTTGCTGACGTTCAGAGCGTAGAGATCATTGAACCAACCGTTGTTCCAACCACCGAATATCAAGAGTCTTGAATCTTTGTGATCATAAGCCATAGCTGAGTACTCTCTTGGGGGTGGTTATACTCCTTTGTTTGGACCATCAACATCCTCTGGTTACATAGTAGTCCAATGCATGGTTTCAATATCAAGATAACAAGCAGTGTTGGTGCAGGCTCCGAAGTTTCTTGGACCTCCTTCTGGGAAATCACCTGTCTCACCTCCGAAGATGAAATATTTCCATGAGGGAATAGCTTCTACCATAATGGCGCTATGATTCCATCTTGGGATGTCATTGTAGATGTCTGGGTCTGACCATTCGAGTGTGTCTAGGTTGAACAAAATGATGTTGTTGTACTAGGTTTCTGAATTCCAACCACCGAAGCAGTAGACTTTTCTTCCAATTGAGAAAAGGGTGTGACCTCCTCTAGGTTCAGGGGGGTTATTAGCGTATTCAATCTTTTCCCAGTGATGTGTATCTAGATCGAATGAGTAGAGATCGTTGAAGGCAACTCTGGCATAGTTTACACCACCATGACCTCCGAAAATGTAGACTTTATTGTCGACGATTGTGGCACCTGAGTTTGCTCTTGGGGGAGGAGCGCCTGAAAGGGACTCTTAGTTCTTTGGAGTAGCGGGTTCGTCTCCTTCCGCTCTTTTCCATGTTAAATTTTAAACTGTTAGGAACCAAGTATCATTAAGTCTTATCTGAGGGGTTGAATGTCCTCCGAAAATGAAGATCTTGTCATGCTTAGGGGTTGATATGGCAATATGCTATGTCCTCGCGGGAGGGAGCTAATCGCCAGTAAACTTTTCCTTGTACCATGTGACCTCATCTGTAGAAAAACATTAGAATTTAATCACGAAAAAAAGATGGAAAATTTAGATCATTTTTTGAATGTCAGTTAAACTTACTTGTTCCAATTTTCATAGCGTAGATGTCGTTGCTGGGGAGGATCTTGTGACCCTTCTTCATGTTATGATTATCAATTCCACCATAGAGGAGGTAATTGAAACCTCCTACATGGGTGAAGGAGTGACCAGACCTAGGGGTCGGGACATCTCCATTGTTTTTAAGTTTTTTCCACTTTAAATCTTCCGGCTAAACAGAATGAGGTTAAGATTATGCTCAAACATCAGGGGCATATAAGTCCCTGAAGGTCCTTAAGGACTAAAGTAAAGGGGAACTTACCATAAGTAATACGTTGCAGATACGATCTACTTATCTTCTTTCAAATAAATTTAAATAATAGTTAAGTATTTACCAACCAATATATTAAATTTCTTAATTAATATCTTTAAATGAACCTCAATCGGCTCAGTGGCTGCTAATGCTTTTATTTATAAATTCAAGACATTATCAGAATATTGACTAGGCGGGGTTTTGGGGTTTTGGGGTTTTGGGG